TTTATTTATATAGCCCAAAATCACAAATCAAAACTGCCCTCAGGGGGGCTTTACAATCTGTAAAACACTCCTCTGTCCTTGGACACTCGATTCTTCGAAGGAAAAACTCCCCAAAAAACCCTTTTAACAGGGCCACAGAAAGAAGATCCCTCTCTCAGAACTATAAAGCCCTGATGGTTTATGTATGCCAGGAGACTATGAAATCGTTTTTATTGTTATATTAATGCCTTTGCTTAGTCATTTTAGTTGCTATGTAAACGTATATGATCTTGTTTATGTGTGTGTATGTTCCCACAGGTTCTCTCACGATGTCACTCCAGTGATCCTTGCAGCGCACTGCCAGGAATATGAAATAGTTCACACCCTGCTGAGTAAAGGGGCTCGCATTGATCCTCCTCATGATTATTTCTGCGGCTGCGACTCCTGTAACTACCAGCAGCAGTTTGACTCCTTCAGCCACTCGCGATCAAGGATCAACGCCTACAGAGGACTCGCCAGTCCTGCTTACCTCTCCCTGTCCAATGAGGACCCGGTGCTGGCAGCCCTGGAGCTCAGCAACGAACTGGCCATGCTGGCTAATATTGAGAAAGAATTTAAGGTACAAATCCTACAGAAACACTGGGACACAGACAACGCCAATGATGTAACTCCAGCAAGCTGTGTCTGCCTTGTTTCTGTAATGAATGAATGGTCACATCCTGTTAGTGCTGCTGTACACGTGCCCTGAAAACCAGCTCATCGTCAAGTACACAAAAAGTACATTTGCCATGTTACTGCCAACCAGCTGCTTGTAAATGCTGTCAATAAACATTTTATGAGAGGAAGTATAAAACAGATGAGGATCTAGATCTTGTAGTCACTGTTGACATTGTTGGTTTGGCACACATCAGAGCTAAAATGACCTCTATGTTACACCAGAGTTGGTGCCATTGCTTCTTGAGCCAATCACCATATATTCCCTTAAGACCTAGAAACATGTTTCCCACAAAATCCTGGTTTATGTGTTGCTTTTTATTGGTGGGATGCTGTCAGAGGGGTTGGATGTGCTGTTATTTGTTTACAGAAATAATTACAAACTATTTTGATGAGGTTTAAGTGTGATTGTAATAGTGACAGATTCAGTTTTGCACACAGAATTGCATCCAACATTTAATAATTAACCCCAGCCTCCGACCACATCTGCAGCACATTTTTCTTCATTGTGTTTGTAGAACGACTACTGCTGTCTGTCGAGCCAGTGTAAGGACTACGTGGTGGGCCTTCTGGATCTTTGTCGCAGCACCGAGGAGGTGGAGGCCATACTGAGCGGAGAAACCGACTCTGAAGACAGCTATGATTTACCAGGTCGCCCCTCCCTCACACGTCTGAAATTAGCCATCAAGTACGAGCTCAAAAAGGTTAGTATGCCAACAAACAGGCGATGGCACAAAGGGAAGAAAAAGCCAATGTTTTAGAGGAAATAATAACAGGAGAAAAGGATCACCATCATGATTTAATATTGATTTCCAGCAATTTATTTCACTTCTCGTCAATAAAACTTGTCAACAAGTAATCAATTTGTAGAGCATTGAGATGCTTGTTGAACTGCGTGAGACTCACAGTGAACATTAAATCAGATTTAAGATGTGAGAGTCTGCTGTCAAAAAACATTGATTTCACTAAAAAGCCATCCCAGAGGACAAGCTATTAGATTATTATAGTGATCATGTGTATTTGGCAGCTTCTAAAAATGGCAGCTGAGCAATCTTGAAGTAACAATATCCTTGAACTTACAAAGAGTTTTTAAAACGGTATCAGCAATCTAGAAACTAATGATATTTTTCTTTATTGAAAAATGATTGCAGTTAATGGTCTGCAGCATGCTAATCTGGAAACCCTTCCTGTTGGCATCATGATTCTTTCTCTTCTTTGGCCCATTCCTGTTACAATGAAAGGATCAGTATTTATTGTATGTTCACACTTCACAGAAGTGATAAACATTTGGCTTGATACTGTTGCTTGAAACTTGTTCTCTCACCCAACCCTTAATATATCCCTGTTTCCTTCTCTGTCGATTTGCCCTTTAGTTTGTGGCTCATCCTAACTGCCAGCAGCAGCTGCTGAGTATCTGGTATGAGAATCTGCCTGGCCTGAGACAACAAACCACTGCTATCAAGCTGCTGGTGGTGCTGGCGGTGGCCATAGGACTGCCTGGACTGGCTCTTGCCTACTGGATTGCCCCGTGCAGCAGAGTATGTAGCCTTTACGCTCACAAATGTCAGTACCCTAGGAATTTAACTCCCTGCAGGACATTTTCTCTCATTCTCGCTTCATCTCTCTCGCTCAGGTGGGGAAAGTGATGCGTAGCCCCTTCATGAAGTTTGTGGCCCACGCCTCATCCTTTACAATTTTTCTGGGTCTTCTGATTCTAAATGCTGCCGACCGTTTCGCAGGCACCACCTTGTTGCCTAACATGACTCAATATCAGCACCCAGGAGGACCCCCACTCGACCCACTGCTGCTCTTCCGCATGACTACAACGCCCTTCACATGGATGGAGGTCCTCATCATTTCATGGGTCATGGGTGAGAGTTAGATTGAGATTATGATGGAAATTCCTTGATGTCGTCCTGTATATTACATCATTTGACTTGTGCTGCTGCAGGTATGATCTGGGCCGAGGTGAAGGAGATCTGGAGTCAAGGGCCGGGGGAGTACCTGCTCGAACCGTGGAACTTCCTGGACTTTGGAATGCTGGCGATCTTCCTCGCCTCTTTCAGCTGCCGCTTCTCCACTCTGAGACACGCTGACTTAGCACAGACCTATGTACACACACACTACACAACACTGATTAATGTCACACTGCCTCCTGAGATACACTACTTTACACAGGGTGAGCATGCTCACACATCCTCACAGACTAACAGACTGCCACACTTAAAATACCATCATGTACTTCATGTGTAAACATATATAGCAGCATCTGTTCTGTGACGTGTGTTCCCTTTGGACATACTGATGGCTGCCAAACACCAGTAGTCTCGGCCTGAATTTTTCCTGTTTTTATTGGAAAATTGAATAAAAACATGAAAATAACAGACAAGATAAAATTTACAAAAGTAACTTCATTAAAGGCAAACCAGAATAACAGAAATATCCCCCAAAATTAATTATAAGGAATTGAAATCCAGTGACTTTGTTCCATACATCCTCTGTGAAATGTCTGAAGTGGTGTCCTATTGTAACCAAATAAATAAAATACCCTCTTTGTTCTGATCCAAAAGCATAACTGCAGCCATCTTTGTACTGTAAAACTTGCCTTGCGTACAAAGAAAGAATTTACTTAAGTAGAACTACTGAAGTTTGCTGACTGATTCACAATCTGTTTTTGTAGCGCGTAACGACTGGTTGCCGTCAGATCCCCAGCTGGTGTCAGAGGGCCTGTACGCGGTCGCAGTGGTACTGAGCTTCTCCAGGATAGCTTACATCCTCCCAGCCAACGAGAGCTTCGGTCCACTGCAGATCTCTTTAGGGAGGACCGTCAAGGACATCTTCAAGTTCATGGTCATCTTCCTCTTGGTCTTTCTGGCGTTCATGATCGGCATGTTCAACCTGTACTCTTATTACCTGGGGGCGAAGCAGAATGATGCCTTCACCACGTGAGACATGCACATATTATTTTATTTGAGGTATTTTTCGGGGCTGGAAGAGATAAAAATATATTCTGTATTTCAAAATAAAAGCAAAATTACAAAATAAATTGAAATGATCAGATTGTTATCTTTTATTTATCCCTTTAATCATATTGTGACCCACTTAGATATATCCATTGCAGACCCCATGGTTGGGACCCACTGCTTTACAATAGCTACCCAAAAACTTAGAAATCAATCTAGAAATGTATAAAACTGTTTTTTCTTCTGTCGCTTTTCTCACAGAGCATCTTTAACGTTCTGGTGATTAATGGTTTGTTTTAGTTCAAAAATAACTGTCCTCTCGTTTCCCTCCCTTTCCTTCTCTGTGCGTCCGTCCAGCCTGGAGGAGAGCTTCAAGACCTTGTTCTGGGCTATATTCGGGCTGTCCGAGGTCAGGTCTGTCGTGATTAATAACGGACACAAATTCATCGAAAACATTGGTTACGTGCTGTACGGGGTTTACAACGTTACCATGGTGATAGTGCTGCTCAACATGCTCATCGCCATGATTAACAGTTCCTTCCAGGAGATTGAGGTTCGTCATCGATACTGAATCACCATGTGCTTCAGATACAAGCTCACAGTTATGGACAATGTCCTGAGAAAGCATTACCTACCTTCACATGTAGTTCAAATATGTTTTCAGTTTTTGGCGGGAGAGGAGTAAAGTAATTTAAAGAGTAAAAATTTAGTTAAACCACAATACTACTTTATTCGTCACTGTTTTGTCTAAAATGAGGCTTGTTCAATACATTTAGATCAAAGGGTCCCTATGTAATATACAAAATCTACCTACAACCACTTTTAGCTATAAAAAACCCTTTGCATTTTAATTTACTTTTCTTTTTGATTGGCTAGCACAGTAAATGCTTTTTAGAATTTTTGTGTTTTGATTCGTTGATTGTTCGACATTTTGGGAAATATGGTTATTCACTTTCTTGCAGAGAGTTAAATGAGAAAATTGATTTCACTCTCATGTCTATGAGCTAAATATGAAGCTTCAGCCAGCAGCTGGTTAGCTTAGCTTAGCACAAAGACTGGAAAGAGGGGGAAACAGCTAGCCTGGCTGTCGATACTCTGTGGTCTAGGACATCACTGCTCCAAAGGAAGAAATATTTGGGCATAAAAAACACAACTTAATTTTTATATGGACTAAACCAACAACATAATTAACATGTTAATTAGTGAGCTTCAGAGGAGCTGCTGTTTCCCTGCCTCCACTCTTTGTGCTAAGCTAAGCTAACAGGCTGCTGGCTGCACCTATTTATTTACCGTACAGGCGTGAGAGCGATGTTGGTCTTTTTATCTAACTCAGCAAGAAAACATTAACAAATACATTTCTGCAACTGTTCAGTAAATCTGTATCAAAGTAGCTACAGTGGTGTTGGTGGTGTGTTTTGCGGTTTCTTCTCCAACCAGTTTGTTTCCCCTCTTTTCTTTAGGATGATGCTGATGTTGAGTGGAAGTTTGCTCGGGCCAAACTCTGGTTCTCCTACTTTGAGGAGGGAAGGACGCTCCCTGTGCCCTTTAACCTGGTCCCCAGTCCAAAGTCTATGCTGGGACTGGCTACGGCCATCAAGTCCCTGCTCCTGCGGCATGTGGCAGGACACAGGGAGGAGAAAACTGAGACACAACTCAACCAGGTACCTCACAATATGGATGTATACACACAGCACGTATCCATTCTCAGCTTGTGCAATATTAATTCATAAACCCATGATGCATGATACTACCATGTGGAGCTTTAAAGGCGGAACTGAGCGCCTCCCAGTGGTTTTACTGCTGCACCACAGGCTCCACCTCAGACCTGAAGACAAGTTTAACCTGAGAAATGTCAAAATTAATTAATTTAAGCTTAATCTTTCAGCTCGGAGCAGGCAAAAATTCTGGTTCATTTGGTACTTCTACTAGGCCAACCAGATATCAGGTATGTATGTGTATGTGTGTGTGTGTGTGTGTTTCACAACATTTACTAATTTTTACTCATCTGTAGTTGCTGCAGAATTGGTTTTATATAGAAAGCAAATATGTTAATGCAACAGTTGAATAATTTTTCTGAAAGAGTCTGGACTATAAACATTTTACCTAAACCAAAATTGGATTGTGGGACTATTTTTTTTCCATATATTTTTCCCCATTATAGTATTGTTAATTGTACTTCCAACATTGGTTGCAGAAGATCATGAAGCGACTGATAAAGCGTTACATTATCAAAGCCCAGGCAGACAGAGACAGCGACAAGATCACTGAAGGTAAAATCAACACAACTATACTGAAACTGAATCTGCTGTATCCACTTTAAAAACTTTTCTTTTACGCCTTTGTGGGGGTTTTTGTTCAGGTGAGCTGAAAGAGATCAAACAGGACATCTCCAGTCTGCGATACGAGCTGCTGGAGGAGAAATCACAGAACACGGAGACACTGGACGGACTGCTGAGGAGGCTGGGAGAGATCAATACACCTATGCAGTAGCACTGCCAGTCGCTCCGACTTGTTCATAACACTGTGAAGAGTTTTAAGTGCCTGGTCTTCATCACTGAATGTCGATACAGTACGATAGTGACAAAACATCAATACAATGAAATGAGAATGTATTATGTGAATATAAAATTAAAATATAGCTTATTGATTGCATGATTACATGTGATTTATATGTTATAATGTATAATAATGTACAGTTTTGGAGTATTTTGTCCTCCCTCACCTACCACAAATACAGTCCATTATAAATCATTTTAATTTGGACAAACAACATTTAAACACATGAATGCACAAGTTAAAACACTGAGTTATACGAATACATATCATTTGCAGATTACTTTTTCTCTTGCAATTTAAGGTAAATAGGCTGTAACAACACTACATACAGCAATAACCCTCATATCTGCAATATGAACAATGATTAAAGGTCCAGTTAGTAGGATTTAATGGCATCTAGCGGTGTTGCTGCAGATCCCTCTAACTCCCTCGCTTTAATCTCCCCTTCCGAGTGTGAAGGAGAAACTACGGTGGCTGCGAAACGTGCAAAACACAAACACACCTAAATCTAAACCATCTAAAGCCAGTGTTTGGTTCTGGGCTACTGTAGAAATATAGCGGTTCAACTATAAAAACCATAAAAAGGTCTCATTCTAACATCATTTTCAGATGATTATACACTACTTAAGTCATATCTATGAATATTATATTCCATTTCTGCCAAAAGATCCTCCTAAATGTAACACACTGAACCTTTAAAATAATCAGCAAGGTTGTTTTGTATATGATAAAACAGGGTAATTGCAGAAAATGCATTATAAACAAAGAAAATAATAAACATAAACTACATACATATAAACAGACTTCTTAAGGTAAGTGTTTATTTAGACAGCATGAAAACTGACAGACAGAAGAGGGAAAATGTTACGGCAGGATTCAGTCTTAAGACAGCCAGTTCATACTGTTCAGGACACACAGCTATAACATTAATATGATTATTTACAAACACATAAATTACCAAGTTTGATAGAAAAATACTGTTTCAATGAACGTCGCGGACACATTTTATGTATTTATAGCATTCTCGGACGTGCAGGAAGACCACTGGACATAAAAGAGGCGCTGATAGCGTTGATTAGGTGAAACCATCACATAGGAATGGATGAAAAGTCAGATTCCAACATCTATTGTACTATTAACTGGTTACTAACACAACATGGTTCACATATAGTAGTCAGATATACATACAGTACATATATCATTCATATCCAGCCCCAGTAGTTCAGTGATAACAGTCACAGTTACATGATAAATATATTGTATCTTTGAGTATTACTTCACTGTAGATCCCTAAAGTTTCATCTGTATGTTAATCTGTGATGTGGTGGTGACATCATCGGCTGTGTCACACGTATGTGATGTAGTTTTCAGGTATGAGGCCTGTTTTGCCGTTGTACGTCGCCTGAAGCCAACCTGGTTCCACAGACGGGTACACTGCAGACACAAACAACTCAGCAAGTCAACACCATGAGTTCATCTTATATAAAGTCTTATAGTTAGTGCACTGAACTGTACACTTAATGATCAGAATACATTACAAAACTGTCCCATTATTAATATAAAGACATGTTAAGTAGCCAAGCATTATTGAGGCTCACAGTCCTTTGTATTAAATTCCAGTCCAGATCAGGAAGTTCCCAAACATAAAAAATATTTCATGATAAATTACAGCAAACGTGTTAAAAAAGAGACATAAAAAAATTATACAAAACCATTTTGTATTCTTCAGAGAATCCTTGTATCAAGTCAATTAACATCAACATTAACATCTCATGATATAGGTGTAGGTGTAACTGGGGAAATGAAACCTGAGTGGTTCTCTTACCATTTGAGAACAGCGCCCCCTGTGGAAAACTGAGCTCATGGCTGTGCTCTGCCTCACAGGAGTAAAGAGCCTTTGCTTCCCTAAGTGAAAACATTCATTGAATCAGTTAAAAGAGTAATTTAGAAAGTGAAAGTTAAAGAGGATTGTGCCACAAACAACCTCAAAATCAACTTACTTTCCTGAGGAACAAATGTCTAATGCTGAGGAGAATACTGAGCTCTCACGCTGCTGCAGTCTGACTGATAATCTGCAACACACAAACACAAAAGTGACAGAATACATTCTCCAGTTGCGACCGAGAGAGAGTGAATGAGCATGTCAGCATCTAAAAACAAAGCAGTTAAACAGTTTTCTTCCTAAATTATACTTTAAAAAGTCAACCTTTTCATTAAAATATTTTTTTAAATGCCATTTACTGTGCCAACATGTGTCATACCTCGAAGTTTTAGTAAAACCAAACCAGTGGTTCAGTATTTTGTCAATGGGTAGATGAGACCAGGAGATAATCGGAGCACATGGCTGTTTCTTTAACCTGCCACGTGCTCTTGTTTTCTCCAGGGCTAAACTATCCATAGACTGAGATCTCTCTCTTTTCCTTCTCTGAGAGCACAGATCAAAGGCTGCAGCACAAAGTGAAGTGCTGTATGATTAGAGCACATTGTCGTCTCAAATATAAAACACATCTATAGTACACTCACACTGATCCAGGCTTCTGGTATCCATTGCTGGCTGTTGTGGCCTCAGAGTTTTTGGCGGTCAGATCTGAGCTGCAGCGGACGTGTGAGGTTTTACGCTTGTGTGTTGCCTCTTGTGTGTCCAGCGACATGAGACTCTGCACCGATCCATGGCAGCTTTTGTAATCTGCGATAGGACGCAATCAATCAGAACCGAACATAAACCGGGAAGTGACGGATGCGTAAACGTCTACAGAGGTGCACTCACCTTCAGAGATGTGTAGAGAGGTGAGAGAGGAAGACGTGGAAAGCTGGTAAGGAAATAATGAAGAGGAGGAAGAAGAGGAGGAGGAGGCAGTCCTGTACTTTTTCCTGTGCTGCTGAGGAGGAGAGGTAGAGTCCGTCACTCTGGTTTCTGTGACAGAGGAGGCGGCTTTTGTTTTATCCACCGAATGAGTGCTCTTCAGCGAGGAGACGGACGACACTCTCTGCACAGGTCGACCCTCCCTGAGAGAGGAGGCACGTTCCACTGAAGAGTGCTGGATGGAGGCGGTGGACGAGGAGGCTGCGGAGGGAGATCCTGACTCCTTTACTGATGACAAGGAGGCAGTCGAGTTTCCTTTGACGGACAGAGTCCTCTCTGCAGAGAGTAAAGAGGACGTGGAGGAGGACACAGAGGAAGTCTGCTGGGCCGGAGTGAACTGGGAGGAAGTCCAGGAAGAGGACGGCATGAGGTGAGGGGAAGAGGCGCTGTCTGTCGGGTGTTTCTGATCCTTCCTGTTTGGGGAGTTGTGAGACGTGGAGCAGGAGGAAGACGCGGGAGGAGACACCTGTGCCGTGGAGGACAAGCTGGGCTCGGCAGCGGGAGAGGACGGCGGAGAGATCTGAGACAATCCGTTCTTTTCCGAGGAGTGTGAGGACAGAGACTCCTGGCTGCCCATCGGAGTCGTGCTGGGGCTGCTGCTGAATGTGTCACCTGGAGGGAAAAAACAAGTTACGTACTCACAGACTGATGACATCAAGGAGGCTGAATGGATTGCTCTGGTTTTAGATATTAACTCATTTGTGTAATTTATTACAGTCAAGCATTTTACAAAGTGTACTTTTTGGAAACATTTTGACAATGTCATGTTTTATTTGCACCGTAAAGCAGTTGTGAGCACAGACTGTTTTGAAAAGTCTTCTGTGTTGGTGCATTAAGGTGCTTGGTTGAAGCTTTAACAACTGAGTTTCGAGAACTAGCATGATACTGCACTGCAAAATGACAAATGTGCTCAATATAATAATAATAATAATAACTTTAGTTCAACAACTTTGTATGCAGTTAGTTTAGTCTTGGTCACAAGGTAAATCTGAGGCATTGTGAATTAATTTCTCTACACAAAATTGTATACATTTTTTGACTATTCTCTAACCTTTTATTTAAATACAATACAATACCTCTGGGCTTTGAACAGTTATCTAAATGAAACTGGAACTGATAACAACTAAAATGTTTTTTTCATGTAAAATCTAAATCTGAAAGATAGCTAGTAGCTATAGCTGTCAGATAAATGGAGTAAAAAGGTAGTGATGAGTGATGAGATAAAGCTTCAGAGAGACTCACTGTCGTTGTCTGCCAGACAAAGAGCCGGAGGGTAGAGACGAGCCCTCCTCTTTCCCGATGATAGACAGATGGCCTTGTTCCTACGAGGAGTCGACCGAGAGGACGGAGCCTGAGGTAACGGCACTGACAGGTCTGGGGCCTCACCGAAAATCTGACAGGAACAAACAGTGTACATGTCTGTTAGGTAAATGTATGTTTATGTGTGTGTGTGTGTGTGTGTGTGTGTCTTAAGCGTACCTTGTGGTGATTTTCAATGATAATCTCCACTACAATGTTCTGAAACTTGATGTTCATCATGGCCGCCACCGTCTCTTCCTGTGACCTCATCAATGTGGGGCCGAAGATCATCCCCAGGTTGGACACAGTCATCAGGTTCTGATCACTGTGAGAGGACACCCTGCGCACACGGACACACACACAGATAAAAGTGTTAAATAACATTTGAGAGTAGATTCAAGAGTTGTCAATTCTAACTGCACTCTGTAAAAGTATTAAACGCTTTGCAGTTTGGAATAAGTTGTCTTGCTAGAAACTATTTCATGTACGGACTTTACTCTTCAACTCTCATAGCATGAACTTTAAACTATGACTATGACTTTTAACTCCTCCGACAGAAAATTGTAAACAGGAAGCTCTCACTACAAATGCCCCGTGGCATGAATCTAGATTAAATATCACCAGTTGAAGCATTTTCAAGTATGTTTTTTTTAAGAAAATAACAAGCAGAAGGGACAATTTCAAGGCACTGAACTATAAAAGCACAGTTTATGTTAATATGTACATACTTGTGGAGGTGGTTGGTTAAGAGGTCCAACATTGCTCTGTTTTTTTCTGGTAGTTTATGTACAAGAGCATGAATCGCTCTCACTCTGTACTTCTGGTCGTCATACTCTGTGAAACAAGGAAAGAGTACAGAGGGATATGACACAGTGGTGAGAGGGTGACATTATGTGCCTCTGTATGAGGTAGTAAATAAACGAAATCCAAGCAC